TGAACTGTTTCATATTCTAGAGAAATCAATTTTAATAAAAGCTTTTTTTCCATACATACCTACAACGAGCGTAAGTAACTTTATATTCATATTCCATTTGTTATCGTACCTATTATAATTTTTTAAAAACAACAATAGACCACAGTAAATATTGAACCACCATGAAATTTTATGGCGAAATTTTATCTCAACAAAAACAAAAACATACTTATGAAAACGAATCTGTTACAACAACTGGAGCGATATACGAACACATTTTACTCCACTCTCTTTTTTCACGGTTAATAAAATTACATAATTACGTATTTCCTGAGAAAAAGTAATAGTACTGTGATTAAAGGTCATGCAAAGCACCTTATAGTTGATCCAAAATGCTTAAAATATATCTATTAAACTATGCACCATGGATAGATAGGTGATAAAAACAGCTTTATGGATATATAACCCGGTCAAAGTAACTCAAAAAATAGAGGTAAGCTTGCCATAATTGGCATAAAGCTGAAAATTTGTACGAATGTTGGGAACACCATTATAAATGAAATGTGAAAAGTCCCCATCGATCCCACATCTGCAAGAAAATTTACTTATATATATAAAACGGTAAGTTTTATCATAAAAATAGGTAAGACAAATTGTAGATCATCCAATTATCTATAAAAATTGTTCTTACACTTTTTTCCTAATGGGGCGCAAGCCGATCGCCTTATACCTTCAGTATCTAGCAGAGTAATCTGCTAGTTTTGAAAATTACTTAACAAACATTCATTATACCTATAAAAATATAGGCACCAATATTGTCTACAAACACACATGAAGCTTTCGCACATTCGCTTACTCAACTGCGACTTGCGATGTGCAAGTCAATTTAGATCTTATTACTACAAGAATTAAATTGATGTTCCAACAAACATGACCAATCTGTTCAAAAAAGATTTAGGCGTATACCGGACAGTCAGTGCATTGGAACAATTAACTTGATTCAGAATCAATTGCTGAAGGAATGAGAACCTGAATTCACTGAAACTGCTCGTCCATGTCCCCGAAAAAGACATTTTAATTACGATGCTGCAGATGAGCCCATATTAAACCCAATAATAAAATTTAAAGTAAATTTTTTTTACAACTTGACACGGCGATCTTACAATTAAATGAAATGATTCGATTTTATTAACATTACGATCAACCATGACACAAGATAGATCGACAAATCTGGCCATAATAAATATCGAACAGAAAATAGATTTCAAGAGACGATGTTATTAAAAACTTTGCCGATTTAAAAGCTACAAAAATTGAATACGAGGGTTGAAAATGTACCTAACTTTATTGTACAGGTACAAGTATTAAATAAAAAAATGGAACATGAAAATTAAATTTTATTTTTTTATTGGCTGCATTTTATTTGGCTTTTTATTGGCTGCTTTTTTGGCTTTTTATTGGCTGCTTTATTTCACAGGCTGATTTTCGCTTCCCGGCGCCTAAAGACGGCCCTCATGAGTAGTAACTATTTGAAATAAATTTAGCTTTTTTTTAAGTATGATGGTTTTTCAGGTTGCTAAACAATGGCCTCTGTACATCGTCGCCACCAATCACTTCCTTAACCTTAACGGCACTCTACAAGTGCTTCTGCTCGACTGAGGAGTCTGAGGAGTAAGAACTGAGGATTGAAGATTCAGTCGCGGCGAAGCATTTGCAGAGTAACCACTGAAGAACTGGTGAAGAATAGCGAAACGACCAGTTCTAGAGGCCACTAAAGGACATCTCAGAAGATCACCGTTATCTGAGGAGCGGTTCCGTTCTTAGACCTTAAGAGAACAGAAATAATCATCAGAACGGACCTAGAGGTTCTAACAGCAGGTCCGCCCCCACAGAGCCTAACCCGAAAACAATTTCTGAAACTGAAACGGAATTATCGAATTCGTTATAACATAATCTTGCACAGACCAGACTAACTCGCAATGTCTTCATAAATTAAATTGAAAGAGATTAAAGTAAAATAACGCTTCTTGAAATTCAATTAGCGGTTTCTGTAATACATTTGGAAAAGCAGTATAAAATAAAAAAAAATGTATCTGTCAAGTTAATCAAATAAATATATTCTATTAAGGTTTTCACTATATGTTTAATAATTTAAAAATATATATGAAAAATACATACGAAAACATTTCTAAATAATTTGCATTTATAGTCATTTAGAATAGCAGAAATTGACTGAAAGTTTGTTAAAAGTTCGCAACTGTCGTGATTTTTCAAGCTTAGAAATCATAAAGCTCCTTTACTTTAGTTACGTTAGATCGAATCTTGAATATGCCTCTCCCGTATGGTCTCCGCACAGTGGCGTCCACATTAATAAACTGGAATCGATTCAGCGTCGATTTTTTAAATTTTTAAATTTTAAATCTGATGGCTACTATCCATATATCGGATATCCGCATGAGGACCTTTTGAGTAGACATTCCTTTATTAGCCTTGAAACTAGACGGAAATACTTTTCGCAGGTCCTTCTTTTTAAAATTTTACGTAATTTGGCTGACTGCCAGGAATTTCTAGCCAAATTATCATTCTCTATACCTAGACTTAGCTCTAGAGAAAACGAAACATTTTATTTACCAACTCCTCGTACTAATGTACTCAAACATTGACCACTTTATGAAATCAGTAACAAATATAATAAAAATTCTCTAGATATCTTTAACTGCAGCCTTAATGACTTAAAAAAAAATTATTTTTAACATCTGGTAGTTTCAAATATGTAATTTTAATCATCATTTATGTGTATTATTTAGTGTACAGATTTTATTTATTTCCTTCTTTTTTATGATGTAGGTATTTGTATTTTTGTGAAATTTTGTTTGTAATTAATGTACTTCTTTTATTATTGTTTGTAAAATCCCTGTTCTATTATTGGGTAGTACCTGTTGAACAGTGTATTAAATAAAAGCAGTCCCTGCCTGATTTTGGTGGAGCAAAGTTTTTATAGTGTTTTAAGTAGCAGTATAACAAAGTTTGTTTTAAGACCTGATTTAACGATACAGAGAGGCTATCTGCTCTCCCCTTTGAACTTTGTGTCATACTTTATAAATACGTTATCTTTCATTCATTAAAATAGCAAACATTAAAGCCAAGGTTTTAATAATGTTGGCAGTGGCAATATCCAACCCGGGTTAATAAAAATTCATACCCATTCCGCGATTTCCACCTCTTATCAGATACATCCCCTACAAAGTGAATCACACGACAAATAAACACGGATCGATAACACAACAAAACGGTCGCACTTGTTTGTATTTCCGTACTTTTACCCGTAGAGCACCTCACGTAAATTCTTATCCTAGGTTCACGAAAGAGAACTATTTAAACTATCAAGCCGGCACCGCATTAAAGATGATAAAACTCCATTAGAGTTGTGCACAAACAATTTTTACTACCACTCTGAAGATAGTAAAGTCTAGACGATTACACATGCAGGGGTTGCTAACCCCTAGCGTAAAGCCTACTCAAGTCAAGTAGATCGGTGACGACGGTGACTGCATTGCAATGCGCAGATACGCTTGTTTTAATCAAGTTTTTACTGTGTACTTAGGGTGGTTATTACCTGAGACTAAAGTTTTATTAAGACACTCATAACGTGATCAGGTTTGTCCATGAATGGAGATAAAGGTTAACCGCAGTTTGAAGGCGACGAAACCAATTATTTTAGTTTCCAATTCAATAATGTGGTACTTACAGAAGTGTGCCTGAAAATTTTACCATAAAAAAATTTAAAATTATTGCTGATGAAAATGATTTTCAAAATGAATTCTGAAACATACTTCTACTTAAAAATTTTAGAAAACGAATACATATATTCAAATTCAATTATTGTAAATACAGGGTGTCTCAAACTCGAACATTCAATTATTTTCCAACGACTACTTGATCATTCCACCGCTAATGGTGGTATTTCTTTTGAGACTCGTTAGGACGATATTGCTTATAACTTTTAAAAGGGAAGTAATACCGAAAAATTTCTCTAATAGAAGTTTATTATAAAAAAGAGAGCTTTTTAACGGGAAAAAAATTTGGGCATGTTTCTGGAAAAAATATAATTGATGACGTCATTAGTCGTTTCTGTCAAATCCCAAAAATAATACTTTCGATTGAAAATGGAGCTTACCTCATCCCACTTAACACCGTGTACCAAGTTTTATTTAAATTTTTTGTATCTTCACAGTAGGTCCATACTATCGAGTTTTGCAGTGAAAAAATGTTCATTTCATTAATGATTAGGGATACTTATATTTTCGTTTACATTAATATTTTTTGTCAACTGTTTTTTTTTTTGTCTACTTTCGATGTGAAATTTTTAGTTAGCAATAATAGTTCCCTAAAAACAAACCTTGACTGATTCTTTCATCGCAAAGGTCTACTTGAATAAATTGTTTTTTTCTCATGTAGCAAATAGCTTCAGACAATAAGTAGCTCTACCTATTTTTAAGATTTGTCCCAAACATATGTTTTTTTTCGGAAACAGTTAGTAATATCGAATTGGAACAAGAGTACTTTTGTGAAAGATTTTTTAATCTTTAATATTAAGTCAATTTAATAAAACTGCAAATTTAAACCCTTTAAGGTTTAAGGATGATTTTATTTCGAATGTACAACCTATTACCAATCATAAGTTTATTAAGCGTCATTTCAACTTTTGATAAATCTCGTTTTGCTCATAACATATATTTCTCCGTAAGTATCTAAAAAAAAAAACTTATTTAGAGAAACGCAACGCATCCCATTTTTAGTTTTATTAAAACTTTACCATATTTTTTACATTACATCAACATTAAAAATGTCAGAAACAACATAAACGATAAACTAATATTAATTCGAGATTTTCCTCCTAAATATGTAGACTTTTAATACACCAACAATAAATTTAAATTGCAAATAGATTTTATTTCTTAATTTTTATGTATTAAGTTTTGTTTTATCATAAAACCGTGTAATATGGATCTTTGTTTTACCTCTGTCTATCCTCACCAAATTTATTATGGTCCTCTCTCACAACTATTATCCTGCAACTATCGTAACTAACTGATTCTACTCTGCTCTGCCACAAGGATAAATTTTCCAATTCCTGCGCCTGATCCTCTATTACATTACGTCTTGTATACGATCTTTTATCTCGTACTGGGTCATTTTCTATTCCTGTTTATTTCTTATATTCTTTATCTTCTCTGTTTATTTGTGGACTTTGTAATATTTAAATTATCTCTTCTTCGTTTTTATCTCAACTTTTGATTAACATTTATCCTCCCTTCAATTTTCAAATAATCAACTAAATCCTTTTTTTTTTCTTGTTTCTACGTAACCGCACACCCGTATCTACGTTTAAATTTTCCACTGCACGCTACTTATAACTATTTTACAATAATTCTGTCATTTATAAAAAAAAAAATCGATTTAATTTTTGTTATCACAACCCATTACTATTTTAAAATTTCTTAACATTTCATTTTCTTTGAAATTCTGATTTCACAAAGTAATATTTTTTAAATTTATTGTCAGATACTTCTTCCTTTCATTTTAACCCCTTCCATATATGCAATTTACAATATATTATATGTGATCATCATTTTCTCAATTTTATTTTCAATTTCCAAACTAATACTTACTTTACTAAATATGCCACATATACATACATCCCAATATATTTAAGATACCTCTTATTTCTCAAAATATGAACTTATCACCTTCTAGTTGCACAGGGTCTTTAATTTTTTACGATCATATATAAAGACAAATATTTTATATTTATAATATTTAATGTTCATAATATTTAAAAAATGTATTAATATCTACAGTCCGTACCATATGTGCTGATACAGAATTCCAAGAAGACCACTGCGCCACTTTCTTGGAATTAACCGCATTCGACACCCGAGGTAAAAAGACATTGGCAACGTGGCGTTCACCGCAGCAACTCACAGTAAATATACTTACTTTTGATACACCAACAATAAATTTAAATTGCAAATAGATTTTATTTCTTCATTTTTAATGTATTAAGTTTTGTTTTATCTTAAAGAAGTATGTTAAGAATGATTAAAACCAAAATGAATATTTCATTTAAAAAAAAAATACTAGCAATATAAAATTCATATCGATTTTCCTGCAAATATTTTCTGCGGCTTTGCATATGCAACCAGACAATCATATGAAACCGCAGGATATTTTGTTGAGGAAGACAGAATTTAGATAAATGCAAGTTGCTCGTGCTAACAAATGTTTTAAAAACAAATAGTTTAAATTGAGGATGTACAACTTAATATCGTCGATTCATTATTGGGAATTTTCGGCACGTGTATTTATTGAATTTACACTGCGTTTATTTACAATCTTATATTAAGTTGAAATTGACGTATCTACTAGAAAGCAAGTACTTATGCATTTTTAGCTACGCATTCTTAATTATTAGTAGGCTAGAAAATCCACTTTGAATCTTCCTATATAACAAATTAAAAGGAATAACTTGATTGGACCGCTTTTCTATACATTAATAAAAAATCGTACTTAGCAAATTTTTGTCAAATAATATGTTAGAATCCAAGCGCAATTTGAAGATAACTACATTTACAAATTATCGAATAATGATAATAATACTGAAGAATATGTAATTATCGTAATATTAAAACTATTTTGTTATTTACTAGGTACGTAATGTAAACAATTAAAATAAACTTTATTAAATCATTCCCCAAGAACATCATGCGACAAGCGATTTTAGTTTACGTGAATATAGTACCTACCTTCTAGTCAGGAACAAATAGCACTATAAAGCTTGGAAAAGTGTGTCCAAAGTGTATTTTTTGTAAAGTATTTAACATTTTACTTGTTGACTCTATTTACTATAAAGTTTATATCAAATATGAAGCAAGAACGCTCTATTGTTACCAACTTGATTTATGTTACGTAATTTATAGCTGATTCTATTGATGGTAATGTTTAAACTGATGTTATTCTCCTTGAATTTGGAAACGATCTCTTGTCATCCCTCGCCCCAAAGTTAATAATCCAGAACAGTTATCGGATTTGAGACCCATAAGTTTACTTTGTGTGCTATTCAAAGCTTTTGAAAAAATCTTATTGAATCAAATGCGTCAATATGTTAATGCCAATAATATTCTAACGTAATTTTACAAGCATGGAAGTCATAAAATTCCTTTACTTTAGTTACGATAAATACGCCTCTCTTGTATGGTATCCGCACAGTGGTGTCAACTGGAATCGATCCACCATGATTTTTTAAATTTTTAATCTGATGGCTATTATCTACGTATTTTTCTTTTTAAGATTTTACATAATTTAACGCAGTGCCAGGAATTTGTATCTAAATTGTCTTCTTTAACCCCTAGATTTATATATACAAATATTCCCCACTTCATTTTTTATCACAATAATTGCAATATGAATTCTAAAGACTTAAAAATGGGTACTTTAGTTTTGAAGTCTTGTACTTTTTAGATAAATGACATAACAAGCATTAATCATTTGTTATTTATTTGAATAAAGAAATTAATAACATTAATCATCATTTTAATAATTTTATTTGAGTAAATGAGTAATTTCTAGTAATGAAAATACAATTTGTTCGAAATTCATTGTCGCTTGAATCGCATCTGAAAAATATGTCACCCATACTCTTTATCTCCGCCATTGGTGCATGTAAATTTTAGGAAAAGCCCTCAGATTTTGGACAATGTTGACATAAATTCATGTGCCCAATTTCAATATATTTCACTTACTAGTTTTTTCATTATTTAAAAAAATTATAAATATATTTTGAAGTTTAACACCCTGTAACTTTTTAACGAAGCGTCCTAGATAAAAACATTATAGGAAAGACTCCTCTTAAAATTCGCCAAAGAATACGAAGTCTCATTTTTGGTCATCATTTGTGAATCACCCTGTATATTCTGCTTAAATTTTTTCACCAACACCAAAATTCCATGAATTAATTTGATGTTACAATTCTAGAAAACCATACGATAATTGAGCTTCAGAAATTATAAATAAACAGACCATTATTCGCTCATAAAGACATGACTGACTTTAACCACTCTTGAAGTGTACACCTACATAATAAAAGTTGTGTTTCAACACAAAAAAAAAATGTTAAGGACGTCCAAAACTAATAAAGTAAATACGACGTTACCTGTACAATTCAAATCGATTTGTTAAAGATATAAGTAGTAGGTATTTTTAAAAGTAAAACGTATTTTCTTGTTAATTCCCAACTTATCCCAGAATGTAGAATGAACTGCAGTAAGGGACTGAATGCAGTGTTATGGGTCAAAGTGGAATAATATATATTTTTTCAATTCTTCATTAAGACTTACCAATGTATGTATCTGATTTTTTTGTGCTTTTAGACGTTATTAGATCCTGAATCATCCAGTGATTACAAGCTGTGAAATATGCCCGCCTCAACACGATTTCACCAGCTGTCTAAAATATGATTTATATACTACGGATAATGGAGAGCACTCAGCGTGCTTCGTCGTTCCCACAAAACTAAAGAGGCAGACCTCTAACCTGTTTTCAAATTTAATTATTCGCTTTGTTCCAGCTCGCTTCCATTTACGGGGGTATTTCAAATTGCAACAGTAAGTTTAACATTTTGAGATAAACAGGGTGATTATACTCGGTACTCCAATATTAATTCGCGTGTGAAATACTATTTCGTAGCAGTTAACTAATAGATTCAGAAATATTAAAGATATACTCTCGAAGTGCTACTCCTACTAAGGGTCACTTAATTTAAATATTCAATAAATAGTATATTTTGTTGTTTAGAAAGATAATATTATGTTTTCTACAGAGTTTATTAATCTAAGTTATCACAAAAGTTAAACAAATAGTATTAGAGACAATCCTTTTAAAAACAGTTGATTTTTTAAAAACTCTTTCTCTGGGCCTTGTTATAGCCAACGTGGCATAATAAAGCCCTCTTGTAAACTTGCAACCTCGCAACATATCTTCACAATGATTCCTTAATTTATTTATTTATTTATACTGCATACATACAGACAAAGGGACAGTCCAATTACATGTATACAGTTGAGAAATGTTAGCTAATATAAAAAACAAGTTAAAAATAATGTATAAACGACCAGACACATGCAAAATACAATGTAAAAAGAGAACAAAGAAAGGAAACAAAAAAATGTCAGTTAAAATGTACATAAAACACCCAATCATATACGTATCATAAGTATGAGAGTAGCTTAGTCCGACTAATATTAAAAATATCAATGTCGTATATTCTTAACAAATTATTCACCGTACACAGACACTGTTCTAGGGGTGAATTAATATTAAATATTTTAAAAAGTCTATATCTAGTTCGCATTCTCATATCGGGTACATTAATATTAATAGACGCCAACAAATCGGGGACAACAATCTTACTATGTAAAATATTATAAGCGAACAAAATCTGAGCCTTTTCTCTTCTCCTATCCAAAGAGGTCACGCCAAACTCTGCTCGTTGATGTTCATATGATACCATGAACGGGTACACTCCATACTCTTTAACATATATTGACCTCAAAAGCTTCTTCTGTATTTTCTCTATTGTGTCCTTGTTACTGGTAGCTTGTGGGTTCCAAATCACACTGCAATACTCCAGTTTTGATCTTACAAATGTATTGAATAGCCTTATAACTGTGTTAGATTTAAACTCTTGGCTAGTCCTAAGAACAAAACCGAGCTTCCTGTAACATTCAGCTGTTAAACTTGTAATATGCTCATTAAATGTAAAATTTTTGCTAAAAATTACACCTAGGTCCCTGATTCTATTTAGAGGCTCTATCTCAACACCATTCACCATATATTCTCCCAATATAGGGTATTTCTTCCGTGTATATGATACCAGTTTACATTTTGCCTCATTTAAAGCTAGGTCGTTATCTTTACAAAACTCAGAAACAGCTGTGACATCACTTTGCAATTTTGCAACATCATCCCAACATGTTATGTTAAGGTACATCTTCAAGTCATCTGCATAGAGTAAGAACTTTGCATGCTTTATATAATCAGAGATGTCATTTATAAATAAGATAAAAAGCAGTGGTCCCAATATGGACCCTTGAGGCACACCAGAAGTTGATACAAAAGTTTCAGATTCTGCATTGTTAAATTTCACAAAGTTTATACGATCAGTCAGATAAGTTCTAATAAACTGTATCAAATCTACGTTAAAAGAATAAGAGTTCAATTTCCATAATAGAATGTTATAGTTGACTCTATCAAAGGCCTTCGCCAAGTCAGTATAAACAGTATCAATCTGGGAATTATATAAATTTTCTGTAATGTAGACTGAACGTACATAAATTAGTAGCAGTAGATCTTTTCTTTAAAAAGCCATGTTGTTCTTCTGACAATATTTGTGTCACATGTCTTACATAAATTCAAAATAACAGTCAGATCTTCTTCTTCTTCTAGTGGTTGGTCCTAATAAGTCCCATAGTACTGCGGCCTAATTAGGCTTATTGTGCGTCCCACTACTAGTCCTATCCAGCAAGTAGATTTGTCCTTTTTACAAAGTCCAAAAGCTTCCTTGCTGACACTTCTCTCAGTTCATTGGGTTCCAAATAGGGTCTCCCAAGGAGCGCCATTCTGCTACGTGCAAATCCCGGGCACTCACCCAGGATATGCAGAGAAGTTTCATCCGCCGATTCACATCCTCGGCAGACCGGACTGTCTACAAGCTTTAGCTTATGTAGATGTTTCCTAAAGTGACAGTGTCCCGTTCTGAGTACTGTCACTCTCCTGAGCCGGATTCTGTTCAAGCTCAGTAAATCATTCGCTCTTTCCTTCAACAGTCAGATACCACGATGGCCAACAAACGTGAGTCGCACAAATCCGGAGAAACCGGATGTTAAAATCCTTATCGAAGAACAATACCCGAGAATTGGAGGAGCTACCAACAGGGATCTAACGTCGTCGACTCTAATATCTTGCAGTTTTATATCCAGAGCAGAGGTCTCTGGCCAGTGTGTGTACACGATCCAAATTCAACTGTATTCGTTGCCTTTTGATACCTTGAAGCCGACACTGCTTATTTAGAGTGAAATAAGCTCCAAAGTTGTACTTAGGATTCCACACGACAGGTCCAAAAAAATCTAAAAATAGTTTTTTCCGATGTTTTTTTTTAATTCGCTGACCGTATTGTACAGCACCCCTTTACTAGTGATGTCCTAATATTCTGTAAAAAATTAATATTGCTTTAATAAACTAGTCAGTGTCAAAGAGTATTCATAATTCCTAAACATTTCAGTAGAAAACGGATTTCTACCCAACCATTGCCATCCCGATGAGCATTCGGTGTTATTAGGCTGAACGATTTAGGGCAACGATTAGCAAATTTTATTTTGGATGGGGTTTTTCTCATGGCTCATATTTGGCTAGGTTTTAGATGGAAGGCCTTATTAGAAGATGGCCTCTGTAATATGCTTATATAAAATTGTTAACCGCAATATTCATTGCATTATGCTTACATCGCATATTAATTATCGCATTCTTAGACTCCACCTGAAGCTAGTAAATCTAGTAATTTGTTTATTGCTTCTCCTTCTCGAATCAATATTCAAGTTCAATAGTCTGTTTTACACCAAATGTTTATCAATTATATCAACATTAACAACAGGCACGACCTATCCAATAATTGTTATTTGGCAGACCTTAAAAGATTTTTTTCATAATTGAGATCTTCTGTTGTATACTTTTTAATATATATGTATAATTAATTATATGTATTTTGTTGTTTTTAATTTCAGTATGTATTATTATTATCACTTTTTTAATTCATTTGAATAAGCTTAGTACCATTATAACACATATTGTTATTTTGCTATTTCATTGGCAATTGTATTTTTTTGTTTTCGTTTTTTTTTATTATTATTTTGTTGCTTATGTACACACATTTTATGTTGCTATTCATTTATCCATCTTATAATTGGATGAATTAAATTAATTATTTTGTTTTCTCACTATATAAATTAAATTAAATTAATATCTACCGATATATGTACATAATAATAAAAGAAAAGTAGTCCTACATATATCTTTATTTTATGATTTCATTTATAAGTTTTTTCAGTAACGTTACTATAAGTTTTATTTATGTAGAACCCACGCTGTGATTGGCTTATTTGTTGAACCGTGTTACTTGCAGATAAAAAATATGCAAATAATGCAGTTGTCAATAGCAACAACCTTAAAAAGTTAGTTACCGAAACATGTATTAACACATAAAAAAATATTTTGTTCATTAAATAATAGTATATAACAAAATACTCGTAGTGAGTAAACTACTATACTAACTAAACCATTACCTTATCTTTTTACTTAATATTACTTACAGCTTGCCATAAGATGAATTTACTCACCTTAACTAAATTTGTCAATACGGGACTGTCCATAAGTCCTTTTAGGAATATTAAATCAGTCTCATTAATTCCATTTTTACCATCTAAGTCGTCGATGTTTTCTCGTACATGTTGGAATGCAGCTGAAAAGAAATACGGAGGAATAAGACAAGGGTTTACAGTAAAACAAAAAGATGAATATATGAATCAATTTGTATTGATTCACTGAAGTTTTTTAACTTTTTTTATTATATTAGATATGAATCGTATGGCAAATTTGTGAAAAACGTATTATGAACGTTGAACTGTTGCATGCTCGAAATATCTTCTTTATTTATAAACATTATGTATGATTTTAGTACGAATATTTTTTCAGTTTTTTTTTTAAGTACATATTTGGTATTTTTCTAAAGCATGTGGTTTTTCAATCCATTTATCCGCTTATATTTTTTAAAAGTAAATATATATTTTTTTTTAAGGTAAAGGCACAAAAATTTATTTTTTTGACCCAATTATTTTGTTACATTTTAGTATGTCACGCCTTTTAATTTTCATGGATACATCAGATGCAGTGATTGCACACATAAATATATTAAAAAATAGCGGAAACACAAAAAGTAGCTTTAGCTACATCTTGAACATAATTGCATATATGTTGACCCACTCCGAACATACAGATAAAGATACCGGAAAATGAAAAGATAACTAGAACATATTTTCTTAGTGTTTACTTCTAAGTATAAATTGTTTTTTTTGTATTTACATAGATACTAAAACTTTACTTGATTATTCAATTTCAATAAGCAACAGTTGTTTCAGTATGGTAATAGTACTATATTACAATAAATCTAAAAGTAAACAAGAAATGTTACTGTTATCTGTTAAGTAATGATACAAATTATGTTCTAATGTAATCAAATTTAGCTTTCTATATCATTCATAAAAAAAACTAACTTAGAAAACACTGTTGGAAACACTCCCTTAAAACATATTTAATAAATAGCCTGGTAAAAGAAGTAATTAGTTAATGTAAATCTGAGTTCGACAATGGATTATTTTATTAAAAGTTCCAAATCAAGATTTATTTTTTTCAAACTATAGGAAAAATACTTCTATACTATAATTTTGATAGTAAATACGTTCAATGCTATTAAACACACATAAACACCATTATCTAATCCATTATTCCAAAACGTAAAATACGACATAGAATGAAAAATAGTTTGGATATACAATTAAGTGCAATGGAATGTCAGAATCATTCAACGTATATAATATATCATTCGTAAAGCACTTAATATTATTGCATATTTCGAATTGTATAAACATTCAGTATTACAAAAATATATTGAACAGAAATCAAAATATGTTCCTTGCTTTATGACTAAGTTCTTCATATAACCACACATTGTATTATTTGAAATACAAATCTGGATGATGACATTTAAATGACAGCAAAATTGTGCAATTTTCACATCTAATACTTTTGGTGGAAATAAATAATATTTTCCGCGTAATTTATTCATATTTTCTTAATTAATTGAGCACATTTTTTACGCAATTATGCTATTTTAAACTTTTTCTACCGCTTGCTACGTCATTCATGTCGGTTAAAAAAGCTAGTATATTCATGTTGTCAAACGGAAGACAGTAGGACGTTGGTCAGTTCGTAATTCAGTAAATCTTATTGCACATAATTTCTTGAAATACTGGACAGTTTTTATATAGAATTGTAACACAAACTATGTGTAAAATGACACATTACAAAATTGATTACAGTACGCTTTCTCACAAAATGTGTATAAAAATTGTTTAGAAAATATGCATACAGTTTTTTGAGTGCATGTTCTATCAGAATGCATATTCCTATCAATGTCACATTACCTGACGTTTATTATTACAGTATTATTTATAATTATATTGTACCTAAAAATATTAGAAACATTTCCATGTCGTCGAAAATATTTTCAATTTACCCTTAACCAAATTTATCTTGCTTAACTATGTTTACACTTCTAAAGAAATTATTGGTTCATTTATTTAATTTCCGGATTTAATTGCAGATGAAACTAAACCAATAAACTGATCTAATTTATTTGGAAACAATTTTGTCTAAACCTTCAGCAAATACACCAGCATTTTCGTTTATTTTATACGATTTCCTAGATGATATCTTTATTGAACCATCTTAATTACAAAACCAAAACTTTTATACGAACTATCCTTTACGTAATTCCAATATTAATTTGTTTTATACTGTTTATGTTATGGAAAATTGAACTAAGTACACAGAAATTAACAAACTTTCAATTGCTACCCATTGTGTACAAGAAACTCACGTTTGTTGAAATGTATTTTACTTTGTAAATATTCAGGTAGATGTAATCGTCAACTTCAGCAGCGTACGTATATCGAACTGTCAAGACAATTAATTAAGAATTGGAGAAAAATGATTCTATCTCTGGCGTATATCACATAAGAAATGCACAGGCATTCACAAAACTCTATGCTATCCGTAGACGTTAGTGTAGAAAAGTCGTCTTTTCCTTCAAGATTTTTCCAATGCAAGGTTTTCGACCATTATCTAGAAGCTTATGACCCATTATCATAGCAATATATAGATTTAATTGTAAGAGGAAATGAAAATAAACGAAAGTCTCCTAAGTCCTCCTAAATCCACTCCCATTTCTTCCTCTGTTTTCAACATTTTCCACTTCTTCCTTTGAAGCAAATAGGTGTTATAACTCCAATTTTACTAATACGAAATACACACTTATTTCAATATACTGTCGTAATACAGGTCTCGAGCTGATTCCTTCATGTTTCCAACCCATGTAGAGCCGATCTTATCTAGAGGAAGATGTCCCATCGCCCCAATGTAGAGAGCTCGGCGCGAAAATGGAAATTTTCACCATGTTTTCCAAAATTCCGTCGTCGCTCCCAAAACCACAAACTGTCCAGACAGCAATCGACACCGCCAGAGGCGGATACTATCTATCAAGGGAACGACTCAGGACGAAGGGCCACGGGAAGTGCAAAACCTTACCTCACTTTCCAAAGTTGCCATCGTTGTGCCGAAAACCGCTCCAAGCAGTTCTCAAATCACTACAAGCGCAGCAGTCAACACCGACAGAGACCAATGTGGGCGCAACAGTAATAGCCAACAACGCGATACAAAGGAGGAAGAACCGTTCCAGGTTTCTAAAGTTCTCCGAACTCGACGAAATCCGAAAAAAAGAGAAGCCGAACAACATTAGTAATTACCTAAAAGCCAATACAGAAGGATACCTAGTTCCAGACATCCAGAAATGGAAAGAGAAGTGAATCCGAGAAGTGAGAATGGTGCCGCACTTAACGGGACCATGCAGCAGAAACACCTGCGGAGCTGCCATAACCCGTGTACGAACGTCAACCTGATTTATTGAAAATATGTGGAAAATAAGTACATACTTATGGAGGATAACTTTCTATTTACTGTGTACTGAATGATAACTCTGTACTTACTAGATATCTATCGTTGTACCATTGCAGAACTCATGGCGAGGGTCGCAAGTCGCAACAATTCCCCTATCCCCGCCTAAGCGGCGCCCATGGTCAACATCTATAATTATTTAACGCTAACGTTACATACAATGTTGTAAATAAATGCTCATGTGCAAGAGAACAACTGGCAGTCACGGATCTTCATTACGATTTAAAATCAAATTACTGAATATGTACATTCAATATCCTAAAATAAATAAAATACGTTTCACATATTATACATATATTTTTTCAGTTAAGTCATACTTCTTGAACGAAATTTGTATTAGGATGATTTTTGTACAAAGCAACTTAACCTTTTTAATTTTGTAAAACCCGAAAAAAAAATCTCATTAAATCACGGCAAATAGATAAACAAATTATGTACGTAACACATCATACACAATATTAACAGTAAATTATGTATTTATCAACTACAAAGTTAGTCAGCATGTGGAAAACGTAGATCCATAAATGAATATATGAATTCCACTCTATTTTGATTTTTAATTACCTACACATAATACGGAAATTTTTAAAAGCAGAGTTATTGACTTGGTTATTTTGATATTCCTGTACGTAACATTTTAAAAATAGTTGTCAAACCATCAAACGAATTGTTCTGTTTATATTACTGAAAGTCCAACGAAAATAAACTCATTAGCGGCAAAGACGCGCTGTAAACGAACTGTCACCACGATATACTGTGTGAGAGTAGTGTAAATATTTTATGGAGCAAAAATATGTTAAGATTATAATATACTTGAAAAAATGTTGGAGACGCGATAAGCTTACATTTAATTTGGAACGACTCCTATAGCAAAACATTAATTTGGCAGAAGATGGAGTATGTACAAGGTGTTTCATTAATAATTGAACATACGGCAAATGGATAATCCTAGGGCCTAAATATGATGATTTACAATTAGTGTAAAATACTTTCATTTAAAATTTGCCTCTTTATTGAAATATACTTTGTTATGTATGTTTGTATAATATATGTATGTATGTATGTTTATATGTTTGTGTATGTAGGTTTTATATTAAATTTTAAAATTATTTTTGCCCATTATTTTCATAATGTCTTTATTTCCGCTATTACCAGAGGCGTAAGGCAGAGACGGAAAAGGAGTTTCCCACCTCTAAATTGCACGCCACTGATGGAATAGTCATTTTAGTGCTTATATTTTTTGACTTCTAAACATTTTTTATAAAAATAATGTACTCTTGATTCATAACGATAAAACGATTAATTTTGGGATAATTGAATTTAAACAGTCAGCACAATATTTTGATAAATTGAATTATTTAAAAATTAATAATAATAATAATAATAATAATAATAATAATAATAATAATAATAATAATAATTTTTATTCATTCACTTTACAGCAATACAGTGTTTATGTTCAACAGCAATGAAAGTACATGTGAATGAAAAGGGAAAAACACGCTCAGTTGTCTGCCGAAGCAGAGTCCTGTTCTTCCGCGTACCCCTTCATCCGTGTGACACATAAATGATAAAGTATTAACATATATACACACACACAATACAACATTATAAGACTACAAAACTACAAAACAGAGTGCAAGCGTAAATGAGAATCAGCACCAACAAATC